TATTTGTAACTTTCTAAAACATCCATAAAATTCAAGCTATTAAAATAAAGTGATGTTAAAAAAGAATAACCATGTACAAGAAAAAGTCTTACAAGACTTGGATGTCGAAAAAACTTGTAGAGAAGATGATGTTACAAATACTCAACCCCATAGTGTCAATTTTAATTGACATAATAGCCCTTATGGCTAAAATTTTCAGAAGCAACCTAGTTGAAATGTCAATGAGATTATGTTGGACAGAGCCAGATACATTACATGTTCTACCCGAAGTAGACTTTGTGTCACGCCTGCCGTCTTCATAGTCTCCCCCATAGGGTTACAACTCATGATAATTAAGAGTTTACCCATGGACGTGACCTCTCTAAGGGTTCTCCGTAATTACCCTATCGGTTGCAAAGGTTAGGGGCAAAAGCTTTTACTGTCACCTCGCAGTACCTTCACATCCTAGCGCTTTACAATGACAGATATATACTTTATGGCCAATCGGCACAAATGCTGAGTGGAGCCCCTTCACAACATTCACGAAATTATTAAACTAAGCATTCAACATGGAATCTCATATCCAAAGTAACATTTGAGATTCTGCACATACCAAGGTTCATCCATATCCCCGAGAACTAGGGGCTACTCACACATGGAGACAACAAACATCATGGAAAGTGTGATGTCATACGTGGATGGACAATTCGAGTAACACACAAGATGATCCACTAGGGTTCCTGATGTTATAGTGTGATGTAGGACAACCACACCCTCTAGTATGTCTCTGCCCGGCATGAAAACCGTTTGAGTTGGTTGCACCACATTATGTACAATCCACGTCAGTTGGCTTGTATCAACTTTAGTAAAAAAAAAGCTCATATTGAGCAGACATGTCGGTCTGAATTGCCCAACACGCACAGCCTCCGTCTACGGCCTTTTTTTAAGAAAAACTTTTAATCTATTTATTTTCAATCATTATAGTGCAACGAACACTAGAAATAATAAAAGTTACATCCATATCAGAGATTTAGTTCTACCATCCGTATGGACTTGAACACGCTAAACAATATTAGGATCTTCAGAGCCTATGCCCGCAAACAGTCCAAGAGTTCTCTTAATGTCATGCTCATGGTCATCATGCTCTTGATGAGTCGAGACAAGAAAACCTACTACTACATCATTTGATTCTTCCCTGGGAAGAACGAAAACCATCACGTGCACAAGGCAGAAAATACGTACAGAGCCTCTGTTTTTTTTTTGCGGGAAAATACGTACAGAGCCATCTAGTACGTACGTACAAGGTACAATCCTACATTCTGCCGCTGAGCACGGCGGCCGAGATGGAGTGGACAGCCCGGACGAGCTCGGCGGACACGAGGAGCACCGAGGCCGGCACGCTGAGCAGCACCAGCGCCACGACCCCCGCGCCGAGCCCCGGCCGCGCGCGCACCAGCAGCGCGAACAGGATGCCGAGCGCCTCGCGCACGCCCGCGACGTACAGCCCGTGGTGCCGCCGCTCCAGCTCCGTCCACTCGCCCGGGGGCACGAAGACGTCGACGCCGCCCTCCTCCTCCTCCTGCTCCTCTGGCTCTTCCTCTTCGTCGTCCTCGCCGTGCTCCACCTCGCGGATGCGCCGCCGCAGCGTGGCCATGCCCTCGTCCACCATCCGGCCGTCCCACGGCGAGCCCGCGGGCTCCCACTCGCCGCTGTCCCGCGGGTGACCACCCCCCGACGCGAGGCAGAGGACCACTCTGCTCGCGCCGGCGCGACGAGCGCCGAACCGAACCGTCGCCATGGCGGCGACGTCGCGAGATGACGACCGGAGGCCGCGCCGGTCGGAGAGCACGCGCGGTGCGCTGCTCCAAGCGCCGTGGGCTCTTCCTGCCGCCGCCGGAGCCATGCGCATTGCTGTGAAAATAGAATACGACGGATGGCACGCACGTACGCCCCGAGCAGGCCACGGCGGCAATGATCAAGAGCGTGGGCGCGCGCGGGAAGCTCGACGCAAAGTGGTGAAAGTGCTGGTGTTACGTTGCTTATGCTCGGCGTCGGGGTCGCGTGCTGGTTTATATACCGGCGAAGGAAGGCACCAAAGGGTGGCGTGGCGTGGTGGAGAGGTGTGCGCAGTGGTGTCAGAATTTCCCGTGGCAAAGCCTAGCTAGGCTGGCCGTAGGGCGGGGGGAAAACGTGCGGGGAACGGGTTGCTTGGCTTGGGCGGGAAGAACACGCGCACGGCGGCGTCTCGTCGGCAATTCCTTGAGGTTTTCCTCTCTTTCGGCCGCGCGGTTTCGGCTGTGGCGTAGCGTGTGCGGGCCGCGTCGCGTCCGTCCGTCCCCTGTTGGCGCACTTCAGCTGCTCGGCACCTGGTGACTGTTCCACGGTCCCGCTGTCAGGCGGAAGCTTCCTTCCTCCCGACCCCCAGCCTTTTTCTCTACGGCGCAACGGACGACGGGATTATCCCGTCCGACGGGGTATTGCCCAACAATTCCATCGTAGAGTAGCTCCGTCTGAATTCGGGGAGGATGCATGACCCGATGAAACGGATGGCGAACTTCTGACACGTTTTGGAGGGAACAAACGTGTTTACTGTTTGCTACAACAACACTGTCTGTGCCACATTTTCTTTCACATGAAGAAATGGTTTCATGAGACAAAAATGTGAACATACTGTGCTCGAGAAAATACATAGAAACAACTCGGCGTCGTCACAAAAACAACTTTCCATAACATAGTGCATATAAATATTTTCAAAAGTCAAACTTTACAAATTTTGACTAAGTTTCTAGAGAAAACTTATTATATCTACAATGTCAAATTTATACGATATGAAAATATGTCTAATGATATGTATTTGCTATTCTAGATGCATATATTGTGGAATGACCATGAGCATGACATTAAGAGAACTCTTGGACTGTTTGCGGGCATAGGCTCTAAAGATCCTTAGCGTGTTCAAGTCCACATGGATGGTAGAATTAAATCTCTGATTGTCGGAGTAAATGACCACGGGTAGCCTAACCGGCTCCCTTTGGCCCTTAGAAAAAACAACGGGCCGACCGAGCCTTGAAACACCCAAGACGCGGGGCCGCCTTCCTCCGGCCGGCTATCTCACAGGCTGGCTACCGGAAGGCGGCCCGGCCCTAAACTCTCTTGGGGGACGCCACGATAGGGCCGACTCCAAGAAGCCGGCCACGGAAAGACCGACTCCAAGAAGCCGGCCCAAGAGAACCGACTCCAAGAGGCCGGCCCCAGGCAGGCGGCCAGGGGTCGTGCCCTAAAAATCTGCACCCCCATAACGATGATGGGACGGGGCGTGGCAACAGTGGACCGTGTCACCCCCGAATCCCGGAGCACGCATGGCTACAGTACGCCGTACGAGACAGCCATCACCCGTCCGGCGTGGCATTGTTGCCATGCTGATCATGAGGCCATCCACGACGGGCTGCCAGTACGGCCCGTAGGCGGCGGGCCCCTTCGATCAGAGAGGCACCTGAAGGCGGCCTGGCCTCCCCTAGCCGGCCTGAGGCATGGCCGGCTTCCTATAGCCGGCTTGCTCCCCTCCTCGGGGCGCGCGCACCATTAAAGAGATAAGACGAGGTAAGGCTACAGTGAGAGTCAGCAAGGCGGTGGCACTGTAGCCATGCTTAACTCGACAAAGCTCTCGTCATCAGAGGCAAGGCAATAGTAACCAGCCCCCGACAAGACCCCCAAGCGGTGGGGCCGGCCTGTCAACCAATGAGACGGCAGCCGGCGGGACCCACCAGTCGACGGGCCCCAACAGTCGGCGGAGAAGCCGACGGTCATAGACACTGACGACTAGGGCCCACGCCCAGCCGGATTACCATTGTACCCCGGGGGTAGATAAACCCCCGGAACACCCATGCAAAGGGTTGATCGGAGAGAGTTTTAGACACCACTACAGGGAAAGGAGAGAGAGCTAGCCTTGCCCTTCTTCCTCCTTCCACCGAACAGTTCAAGGAGCCACTTGTAGCTTCTTATTGATCTAGTGATCATGCGGAGACCCCGCAGAACAGGAGTAGGGGTATTATCTTCACGGAGAGCCCCCAACCTGGGTAAGATCCGCCGGCGTGCATGTCTTCGCCTTATCCCGTTTCCAGGCACCGGCGATGTCTTACTGGCTCCCACAATGATAAGCCATCCGTTGGCATATGTCGCACCTACCACCCGACACTGATCTAAATGTAATTATTATTTCTAGTGTTCGTTGTACTACCATGATTAAAATGAAAATATGTCAAATTTTGTAAAGTTTGACTTTTCAAAAAATCTATATGCACTACATTGTGGAATGTAGGGAATGCTACTATGTACCAAAATACCAGAAGAAAATTAAAACAAGAGAGGATACAACCCATGACACGAAAGCAAGAGGGTGTGAGCATGGTGCTCGAAGCAGAAAAACATGGGATGCTCGGCCCAAACAAGGAAATAACACAGCTAAACTCCCCTAATCCGGCCTCTAGCCATGGAAGGTGAGCTACAAACAACTGTGCTCAAGAAAATACATGGAAACAACTCATAAAAAATGATTCCAGCTATTATGATATCAGTGATTACGAGTAATTTATTTTTCCTATCAGCTTCCAAAGGGGTTCAACCATGACATATAATCTTCCTGGCAAATGGGCATGATTAAAGATAAAAGACCTGGAACTGGAAGACCAGCAGTTCAAATTGAGGAACACCAGACCTAGAAAATGTATTTCCAGGATGGGCCATTGTACAAGACCAGATTTAAGCTTCTTTCACACAAAACCATAATGAAGCAACTGTAGTTTACACTTCACTTATTTCGCCTGACTGTATTCACAAGATATGATGCTATTCATGATAAAGCTACACAAACGTCCACAAATCGACAGCTCGGAACAGACGCATCAATCATTCCTTGGGCACTTACGAGGTGATTGAAAAAGGTCACGAATGAAATACGGGTCCACAAGTCACCATGGAAATACAGTAGTCAAAGGAATAGCTGACAGTTGTGGCCTCAGGTTCTAACAGCATCCTGATGATCCTTGACCCCGGTTGCCACCCACCACGTCCACGGTGTCCGGCATATACCTTCAACAGCGTAGCATTTCCGTAAGATTACAAAGTGAAGCATAAAATGAAATTTTTAAAAATATATGCTACTCCTACAACTATCTGAACATAAACCACGGGAACGACAATCAGCACTAAAGGCAACTAAATTAACTATTGACACTTCAATATTACATCTAGTTTTCCTTTCTGTATTACTACATGATATATTCACTTGCAACGAATGCAGTTCACATTCACCAAAGACAATAAAGAGAGTAAAAGATATTGTCCTTACAGTTCTTCCTCTGGCTCGTTCTTCAGAGCATTCTTTACTATACACTGGAAAGCTTCCTCCACGTTGATTCCATCCTTGGCAGAAGTCTCAAAGTATGGGATGTTCCCTTTAGAGGCACACCATGCCTTTGCCTTTTTCTCAGAGACCTGAATGGAAGCAGTTTACGTATCCCTAAGAATCCATCAGAGAGCACCTATTTACTGAGAAAAGGCAAAGCATAAAGTGAATATAGGTAATTACCACACGGCTATTCCCGCCATCTACATCAACTTTGTTACCCAGCAGAACAAAAGGGAAGTTATCAGGATCTGATGGGCTAGCCTGTCAAAGTAAACACCCCAAGTGAGACAGGCATAACATGATTCTGGACTGTTAATGAATTATGAAAAATAATTCACCTGAATTAGAAACTCTTCACGCCAGTTGTTCAGATTATCAAATGATTTCATCGAGTTAACATCGTAAACTAGAACACAACAATCTGCTCCGCGGTAGAATGCAACACCAAGACTTTGAAACCTCTCCTGACCGGCAGTATCCCATATCTACACAGAAACATATGTTAATCCACACACACACAAAAAAAATTCTGTCTAAGCATCATATATAAGTGGTCATATAGAATGGTAATGAAAAATATACAGAATCACAGGTACCAGAAAACCTCAAGAAACAGATTTCTCATGCATCCATTAGCAATGTGCTTTAACAGAATCATTCAGAAAACAAAGAGCCGCTAAGAAATAGTCTGACATTTCAAATAGCAGGAGTTAACATGAAAAATATAACGTTTGCTAGTTCGTAGGGGTTAAGAGCATATGATGAGTGAAGAGCAGGGATGGGGCAAAACCACTTTGATAGAATCATTCAAAAAACAAAGGAAACGCTAGGAAACAGCTTGATATTTAAAATAGATGGGATTAACATGAAGAATGAACCACTTGCTAATTTGTAAGGGCTAATAGCATAGGTTGAGTGAAGAGCTGGTATGGGGCAAGCCTGCTTTAACAAAATCATTGAAAAACAAAGGAGCTGCTAGGAAACGGTTTGGCATTTAGGATAGTTGACACTTGAAACTAACATGAATAATGCGCCGCTTGCTAATTTACTAGGGGCTAATAGCATAGGTTGAGTAAAGAGCAGGTATGGGGCAAGCCCGCTTTAACAAAATCATTCAAAAACAAAGGAGCTGCTAAGAAACGGTTTGGCATTTAGGATAGTTGAAACTAACATGAAGAATGCACCTCTTGCTAATTTGTTAGGGGCTAAAAGCATAGGTTGAGTGAAGAGCAGGTACGGGGCAAACCTGCTTTAACAAATCATTCAAAAACAAAGGAGCTGCTAGGAAACCGTTTGGCATTTAGGATAATTAAAACTAACATGAAACATGAACCGTTAGCTAATCTGTAGGGGCTAATAGAGTAGGACGAGTGAAGAGCAGGGTGCAAAACAAACTAATACTCCCTCTGTAAAGAAATATAAGAGCGTTTAGATCACTACTTTAGTGATCTAAATGCTCTTATATTTCTTTACAGGGGGAGTAACAATTATTTGTTGTCAGAGGCCCAAGGCTAAATCAGAAGAACATCATGCCAAGATAAGTAGTACTTTTATGCCCTAGTGAATTCTTGAACCATTTACACTTTTCTAGGAATTGTTCTCATGTAAAATCAAATGGTCTATTTATTTTCTTTCGGAAGACTACACTATATGTGGGTCCACTTTCTGATGTCCATACAAATTTAGCTCCAGCATAAGTCGACAAGCCAATAATTCCAGTCATGCTGTACCCAATGGTGTACAATAATATTCACAGCTGAGAACACTAAACTAAGCAGGACTGCAAATGATGCAAGGATTGAACCAATCATGCAGCATCAACCGTGTGATGATCCACACAAAGAGTAGATCGACGGATAACATTTGCTATCTTGTACTTTACAGGGGACAGGAGCAGTTCAACAACTAATGATGGTGATGCCAAACCACACTAGCACTACTCACATGAACTGAAGTAGTGAACTAGGCATAGAGCATGATCCAGCAGCGGCAAAAAAGAAAGACGAGGGCATAAAGATCTTCTTACTTGTAGGGTGAAGAGCCTGTCCTCGAACTGCACCTCCTTGGTGAGGAAATCGGCGCCAATCGTAGCCTTGTACTGGTTGCTGAACTTCTTGTTCACATATCTGAATTAAATCAAAGCTCAAGGAAACACAAGCCAAAACAACTACTTATGCTCCAGTACAAAATCCAATCTGTCCGGAACGACACAGCTAACTCGACGCAATTATAATATCTGAACACGAATCTCAGGATACTGGTTCATCAAGGAAGTCTTCCCAACCCTAGATCACAGAAGACGAAGAGAGAAAGTCAGCGAGGAATCGAGAGAGGGGGGATAACAGAGCCGCGTAAAACGGGGGGAGAGAGATCCGAAGCGCTCACCCGCTGTCGCCGAGGATGATGACCTTGAGGAGGGTGCGGCGGCGCGAGGCCATCGGGATCTAGGGCCCGGGGCGATCGATCTCGCTCGCGCGCGCCGGAGGGACTGGAAGGGGGCGGGGCGGGGCGAGGCGAGGCGAGACGAGACGAAAGAGCTGAGCTGTCGCGCCGCGTCGACTCGTGTGCTCTGTGCCTCTGTGGTGGGCGATGCGAGGGAGGCCCGGAAGAACTGCGCCGAAGGGGGCCGTGATGTGATGTGGCGACCGTAAGGCCAACTCCACGGCGCGACCCTATCCTGTCCGCCCCCGTCTGTTTGGAGTAAAAAGGACAAAAGCGACGGCGCAGCGCGCGGGCGCAAACGGACTTTGTGTCCGCTTTGTGTCCGCTTTCGACCCATCCCCGGCCCAAACTTGCGCTGGTTTTGGGATGAAACGGACAGCGCGCGGACGGGCGGGACGCGCGCGCTTGTCCTCCCCTGGCCCGCCTGTCGGTAGGAGAAACAAAAATCCCCCCACGCCCATTTGGCGCCATTTGCCCCAAACCCTCCCGCCGCCCTCTCTCTCCTCCATCCATGGCCGACGCCCAGCCGAGTCACGGCGGCCTGGCCGTCGACCCGCCCGCAAAGGTGAAGAAGAAGGCGCCAAGGAAACCGCGGTCGGAGTGCACGCCGGAGGAGATCGCCAAGTTGGACGCGGAATCGGCGAAGAGGAGGGAACGGAGAGCGGTCGTCAAGCTCAATGCCGCCGCGGCCAAGAGAGCCGCCATGCGCGAGGAGCTGGAGGCCGCGCGGCGCAAGGCCGCTACCGACAAGAAGGAGGACCTCGTCAACAAAGCGCACGCCATCCTCATGCTTGGCATGAGGCGTCCTGCCGGGTTCCCTGCAGCGGCCGTCGCCCCGGCGAGCACCAGCTCGTCGGTTGCGCGGCCTACGCACTGCGGCCAGTCGCCGACGTCGCGCACCGCGCCCATGTCGTCGTGCTTCCCTCCGCCAAGGCACGACGGCCAGACCCGTTTCTCGAGGTCGCCGGACGTGGGCGCGTTCGCGCCGTCCACACCGCGCCCTGCGGCCGTCATCGACCTCAACGTCACGCCCGGGTCCAGCAGCGGCGGGCGGCCGTCCGTCGAGATGCTAAGAAAACAGGCACGGGCACCGTTCACGGGCACCATGCCGGCCCCCCGCGTCTTGTTTGATGAAATGCCAACCCCAACGCCAGCGGTCGACGACCCCTTTGTTGGAGAACGTTGCAGAAAACAAAAAAATTTCCTACTCGTTTCACTAAGATCATCTAGGAGTTCATCTAGCAACGAGTCATTGGATGCATCTACATACCTTTGTAGATCGCGAGCGGAAGCGTTCAAAGAACGGGGATGAAGTAGTCGAACACGACGTGATCCAAATCACCGATGACCAGCGCCGAACGGACGGCACCTCCGCGTTCAACACACGTACGGAACAGCCACGTCTCCTCCTTCTTGATCCAGCAAGGAAGGGAGGAGAGGTTGAGGGAGATGGCACCAGCAGCAGCACGACGGCGTGGTGTTGATGGAGCTGCAGTACTCCGGCAGAGCTTCGCTAAGCACTATGGAGTTGGAGGAGGTGTTGGGGAGGGAGAAGGAGGCAACCAAAGGCCAGGGCTCAAGGTATGAAGTCCCTCCTCTCCCCCACTATATATAGGGGTGCCAAGGGGGGGTGGCCGGCCCTAGGAGATCCAATCTCCTAGGGGGTGCGGCGGCCTAGGGGGGTTTCCCTCCCCCCCAAGGCACCTAGGAGGTGCCTTACCCTCCTAGGACTCTTGCCCCCCTTAACCCTAGGCGCATGGGCCTATGTGGGGCTGGTGCCCTTGGCCCAAGCAGGCCAAGGCGCACCCCCTACAGCCCATGTGGCCCCCGGGGATGGGTGGCCCCACCCGATGGGCCCCCGGGACCCCTCCGGTGGTCCCGGTACAATACCGATAACCCCGAAACTTGTCCCGATGCCCGAAACAGGACTTCCCATATATAAATCTTTACCTCTGGACCATTCCGGAACTCCTCGTGACGTCCGGGATCTCATCCGGGACTCCGAACAACATTCGGGTTACTGCATATACATATCCCTACAACCCTAGCGTAACCGAACCTTAAGTGTGTAGACCCTACGGGTTCGGGAGACAAGCAGACATGACCGAGACGACTCTCCGGTCAATAACCAACAGCGGGATCTGGATACCCATGTTGGCTCCCACATGCTCCACGATGATCTCATCGGATGAACCACGATGTCGAGGATTCAATCAACCACGTACGCTATTCCCTTTGTCTATCGATATGTTACTTGCCCGAGATTCGATCGTCGGTATCCCAATACCTCGTTCAATCTCGTTACCGGCAAGTCACTTTACTCGTACCGTGATGCATGATCCCGTGACCAGACACTTGGTCACTCTGAGCTCATTATGATGATGCATTACCGAGTGGGCCCAGTGATACCTCTCCGTCATACGGAGTGACAAATCCCAGTCTTGATCCATGTCACCCAACAGACACTTTCGGAGATACCCGTAGTCTACCTTTATAGTCACCCAGTTACGTTGTGACGTTTGGCATACCCAAAGCACTCCTACGGTATCCGGGAGTTACACGATCTCATGGTCTAAGGAAAAGATACTTTGACATTGCAAAACTCTAGCAAACGAACTATACGATCTTGTGCTATGTTTAGGATTGGGTCTTGTCCATCACATCATTCTCCTAATGATGTGATCTCGTTATCAATGACATCCAGTGTCCATAGTCAGGAAATCATGACTATCTGTTGATCAACGAGCTAGTCAACTAGAGGCTCACTAGGGACATGTTGATGTCTGTTATTCACACATGTATTACGATTTCCAGATAACACAATTATAGCATGAATGAAGACAATTATCATGAACAAGGAAATATAATAATAATGCTTTTATTATTGCCTCTAGGGCATATTTCCAACAGTCTCCCACTTGCACTAGAGTCAATAATCTAGTTACATTGCGATGAATCGAACACCCATGGAATTCTGGTGTTGATCATGTTTTGCTCTAGGGAGAGGTTTAGTCAACGGATCTGCTACATTCAGGTCCGTATGTACTTTACAAATCTCTATGTCTCCATCTTGAACATTTTCACGAATGGAGTTGAAGCGACGCTTGATGTGCCTTGTCTTCTTATGAAACCTGGGCTCCTTGGCAAGTGCAATAGCTCCAGTGTTGTCACAGAAGAGCTTGATCGGCCCCGACGCATTGGGTATGACTCCTAGGTCGGTGATGAACTCCTTCACCCATATTGCTTCATGTGCTGCCTCCGAGGCTGCCATGTACTCCGCTTCACATGTAGATCCCGCCACGACGCTTTGCTTGCAACTGCACCAGCTCACTGCCCCACCATTCAAAATATACACGTATCCGGTTTGTGACTTAGAGTCATCCAGATCTGTGTCGAAGCTAGCGTCGACGTAACCCTTTACGACGAGCTCTTCGTCACCTCCATAAACGAGAAACATTTCCTTAGTCCTTTTCAGGTACTTCAGGATATTCTTGACCGCTGTCCAGTGTTCCTTGCCGGGATTACTTTGGTACCTTCCTACCAAACTCACGGCAAGGTTTACATCAGGTCTGGTACACAGCATGGCATACATAATAGAACCTATGGCTGAGGCATAGGGGATGACGCTCATCTCTTCTATATCTTCTGCCGTGGTCGGACATTGAGCTGAGCTCAATTTCACACCTTGTAACACAGGCAAGAACCCTTTCTTGGATTGATCCATATTGAACTTCTTCAATATCTTATCAAGGTATGTGCTTTGTGAAAGACCTATGAGGCGTCTTGATCTATCTCTATAGATTTTGATGCCTAATATATAAGCAGCTTCTCCAAGGTCCTTCATTGAAAAACTTTTATTCAAGTAGGCCTTGATGCTGTCCAAGAGTTCTATATCATTTCCCATCAAAAGTATGTCATCTACATATAATATGAGAAATGCCACAGAGCTCCTACTCACTTTCTTGTAAACGCAGGCTTCTCCATAAGTCTGTGTAAACCCAAACGCTTTGATCATCTCATCAAAGCGAATGTTCCAACTCCGAGATGCTTGCACCAGCCCATAAATCGAGCGTTGGAGCTTGCACACTTTGTTAGCATTCTTAGGATCGACAAAACCTTCCGGCTGCATCATATACAATTCTTCCTTAAGGAAACCATTAAGGAATGCCGTTTTGACGTCCATTTGCCATATTTCGTAATCATAGAATGCGGCAATTGCTAACATGATTCGGACGGACTTCAGCTTCGCTACCGGTGAGAAAGTCTCATCGTAGTCAACCCCTTGAACTTGTCGATAACCCTTAGCGACAAGCCGAGCTTTATAGATGGTCACATTACCATCCGCGTCTGTCTTCTTCTTAAAGATCCATTTATTTTCTATGGCTCGCCGTTCAACGGGCAAGTCAGTCAAAGTCCATACTTTGTTTTCATACATGGATCCTATCTCGGATTTCATGGCTTCTAGCCATTTGTCGGAATCCGGTGCCGCCATCGCTTCTTCATAGTTCGAAGGTTCACCGTTGTCTAACAACATGATTTCCAAGACAGGGTTGTCGTACCACTCTGGTGCGGAACGTGTCCTTGTGGACCTTCGAATTTCAGTAGGAGCTTGATCAGAAGTATCTTGATCATTATCATTAACTCCCTCTCTAGTCGGTGCTGGCACCTCAGGAACATTTTCTTGAGTTGCGCCATTTTCCGGTTCAAGAGGCAATACTTCATCAAGCTCTACTTTCCTCCCACTTACTTCTTTCGAGAGAAACTCTTTCTCCAGAAAGGACCCATTCTTGGCAACAAAAATCTTGCCTTCGGATCTGAGGTAGAAGGTGTACCCAATAGTTTCTTTTGGGTACCCTATGAAGACGCATTTTTCCGATTTGGGTTCGAGCTTTTCAGGTTGAAGTTTCTTGACATAAGCATCGCATCCCCAAACTTTTAGAAACGGCAGCTTAGGTTTCTTCCCAAACCATAATTCATACGGTGTCGTCTCAACGGA